CAAGTAAGTTATTTTGGAGAACAAAGCACACATATTGTGCCCCATATCTAGAAATCTCATATATTCAAATTAGCACGGATGATTGCTCGCCGAAAGAAGCGATAACCCTTTCTTGTTGATTTTGTAACAAGGTCAGATCCTCTTATAGCTATACCCATAAAATAAATTTTAAAGGAACATTTCTAAAAGAGGGTCTGATGTGTTAATGTTTACATTGTTTCCTTTCTTTTGTACGTTGTGTTGTTTATGTTGATCGCCTTTGGGATCCCCTTAATGCGACGACCAAGAATGTAATACGACTAGCAGAATCATAAATGAATAGTGTGATATAGCTAATGTGGCATTACTACCAGTTGGTCCTTGTTTTTTCACTAATAAATTGATACACTAGCTTTTGTGCTACCTAGTTTAGCTATAGTCGAAGGCACGATTCTACAAATACTTTTTAATTTATTTTGATTTAATAAGTGGATTAGTTACTGATCCTCATAACAGTAGACGCAGGTATTTTAGGGTAAAAGTGCTGCAGTAACTTTATATTCAAAGTAGTCTTTGACAATTATCCCTAATGAACTAGATCAGCAACCCTAAGTTGCTTTAATTGCCATAAATATAACGTCTCTCCGTTTCTCTTTATAATGCTGCGTCCCTAAAAGGAATACGAGCAACGATTTTGTGCCGGAACTATCCATTCCTCTTATTATACTCAAAACAATTTATCTGTTGTCTATCTGTGGTGAAGTGCGCCGCGTTTTCTTGCACTGCAAGCACGCTCAGCCGCCTGGGTAGTTATAGACTAATTATAGAGTTAACTAAGCGCATGTGTACAAGGTCGGTTTGACACCACCAGTTGGCAAGGCAATCACACTGGATTAATAAAAAAAAGAAACTTACAAGAAAGCGACGTTGAGCGATTACCCGAGAGAAAACGAGACATCCACTTAGAATCTCCGCTCTGCTTATAGATCTCTCTCATATTTATTTCTTAGCCTGTTTCGCGGTTGATTCCCTCAGGATCGCTGATTCTAAGCAAAGCTTTCACGCCTGAGGTTACTTCAGTTTCAGCCGCAGTGCACGAAGTAGCTCACATCTGTTCCCAGCGGAGCTTGGGTCATTTAATTGTATCGCCTTACCAAAGCACACGTGGCAAAGATAAGGGATTTTCTGGTAAGCGCATGTGCGCGAGATCGAGAAGCACGGAGTTGCTGCCGACCAACTGTGCTCATCCTTTGTGCTCAGTCTCAGAGTGCTGCAGGTCGAGTTGGAAAGGGGCAAAAAACTCGAAAAACATTTGGGTTGCATGATTGACACGATAGTCTCCGTCAAAGAAGATACAGGGGATAAAAAAATTGAGGTCACAAAACATTGTGATGATGCCGCTCATCGACGAAGCTATTTGTACAAAACTACTAGACTTCGTGAATAGTCTGTGATGAAATTAAATAAACGTTAGTTCATAAAGCCATTTTATCTATTGTACAGCTCTGTGGGCGCCTAGAAATGCATTACAGAATAATTTTCATTCTGTGTGACTATCCTTCTATATTTAAAATATAATCTTCTTGTTATGATTACCAACTACCTTCAAGCAAGATTCAGAGTACGACATGTTGCGAACGTAAGTTGAGCGTTATTCATTGATAAATCATTTTCTATATTCTTTCGTTATTAAACAAAAAAGCCCAATGATAAATATATAGTCGTATTTCAGAGGCAGTGGATCAATCAGCCATCTGCAATAAAACATTTTAGCACAGATCCCGTTTTGTTAATAAAGAAAATTACATTTTCAAGTTCTTTGATGTCCCGCGGCAGCCGTTTGCCCCGTTCCGAAAATAAAGGATCAACTTGTAATGTAAGTTCCACAGTTGGTCATGCGATATAACCGACAGCGATAGAGTTAGGATAACATTTATTAACAGACTAGAAATTGAACAAATACCGTTTTTAGAAGAATCTAAATATATCCAGGGCGTTTTAGAGCAGGCAATGTCAAAACATCCAGCGTTTAGAAAGGATAGGCAATGTAAGCAGAGATTATAATTTTTTTGGCTTTCTTTCCTCTGTGGTTATCGTAAGATGTTGTTGCTATTCCGTACAGGTAGCATAGCAACGCGCCCAGTGCCAAAATAGGGCAACCGAAGGAGAAGGCAAGTCGCTTAAATGCCCTAGCGTAAATACTTCCTCTCTACAAACCAGAGGAACGCAACGAAGATCCCTAGGTTACGGGGTTCAGCAGGCGTGCAAGAAGAGCCTACACGGGTTGCTGAGGGGCCATCTTGTTTTCGTATCTGTTCAGGTTTTCCGTGTTCTCTCTTTCTGTCACTTAGTCTTTGTTGTGTTTTTACTCTGCCAGCGCCCGCAAGGCTCACTAAAAATCTATCGATAGTATAGGTCGCAATAGGCGCGAAAGCCGTCTGGAATATACCATAGATGGTCAAGCGAGAGATAAGACAGAGGATAGGAAAAGCTGGTGGCCAAAGTGTCAAGGTTTTGCTTTAACACTTGCAAACGGCGGTAAGACCGCATGGCGGGGTGAGGCACAAGGACAGCAGCAAAGGTGGGTAAATCGAAGAGACGATCGACCTCGGCAATGATGGCGTTTGTTCAAGCTGGTCATGGAGGTGGCTTTTGTAACTAGCTTTATGTGCGTGTGTACAACTTTTGCTAACACATAAAAAAATATTGCGGCTGCCACAGCTCAACGAAGTACTCGAAGCTCATTTTCTTACAACAGTCTTTAAAGTGGACAAGGGTTGCCGAACGCTGGTGTTAGTAGCTGCGGCCTGGGAAGGATGAAGCAGCCTGAAGAGCTCCAAGGGTGTATTTACGAAAGCACTGAAAGGGACCGTGAAAATAGGTATGTGCAGATGTTGGCTCGTAGGAAACGTGGATGAGACTGGAGACTGTTGTGGTAGTGGTGAGCCTCGTTATTATCCGCGGCCATCGTCCTAGGTCCGCCGTCAAAGCAATCCTAGCAGACCTCGATAGAGCTTCACCCTCGCCGCGCAGGCGTCGAATATGGAAGCCAAGACAAAGGTAAAGGCCCATACTGGCGCCTTCTAATCCTACCACCATGGTTTCTACTGGTTGCAGCTGTGCTATTGCTGCGGTGCAGTAGCCTCTGTCGTGATGACTTTCTCCATACCATCTACCAATTTCCGAATCAACTCCCAGGTCTAAGTGAAAGCCAAAGCAACAAGGAACTCAATTGTTCCTTGATTCCATACACTTCAAGCGATACACAGTCTCTTTTTACGTAGCTTCTACCTTTTTCTGTTCTCTAGTTACTTTCGTAGTGCTATTTCCTCTGTGGCCTCTGGTCGTTTTGCTTTTCCGTCTCGAGAGTTTGCTGCACGCTATCTCTCGACACCAGCTTCAAGCAAGACCGACAGGCAGGCGACCTACCTTTCTTTTACTTCCCACTGCTGCCTCACGTTCTCACTTTTTTATACCCCCTAACACCCAGTGCCTCAGCTTTGTCAGTTTATAGGAGTTCCGCAAAATGGAGAAGGAACTTGCGAACAACGGTTTTAGCTTAACACTGAAGAAGGGAAAGGTCATGCTACCTTCGTAGAGACACGCACAGCTCATCTCTCTTCGAAGAGACATCGAGGTGCACACGCACATTGAGATCGAACTACAGAGAAAGTAAAGAATCGGGGCAAAAAGAGCGAATTGTGACGCGCTCACTTCTTTACTTCTTTATCTTGCTCGCTCGCTTAGAATAACATTAATTGATCCTCTTCAACTTTTTACAGCAGTCCTATAGTTGGCATTAGTAGTAACAGCCAAGAAAAGGCAGCTGGTAACCGATTTTATCTGCTTTGGAGACCGTTGGCCTTTGCCATATAACCATCACTACGGGTTTCCTTTTCACGTCCTGAAACCTGATTGAGTTGTCGGGGTAATCGTCCTCGTCGGCGCCGTGAGCTCTCTTGTCAGTTGGCCCCAGGCATCGCTTTTCCGACCACCGTCGGACCGGTTATGTTCTTCGTGTCCATAGGAGCAAGGCTGCAAGACGTTTGCCGCCGAAAAAAGAGTCGGTATTTCTGTGGTTTGCCCAGTTGGCAGTAGAGATAACTCAATCGGCGTGGAATAACAGTGGGGGAGAGGATGGATGTTGGGCGTAGTGGACGAGTCTGCAAGAAAGACCTCAGAGTTCAAGGAACGAACATTTCAATCGCAGCCATGACATTCACTTGCTTGTTTCAAGCCTTGGGATAGTCACTTGCGGAACTCACTTTTAGCCTTCCCTAACATCTCCAACTTCTGAAACACGTGATGCCCCTATCTTGATGAATACGATTTTCCTGAACGGATTCCTGCCGCTATTGTGCCTTGGTTTCAATAAACCTATCTGCATGTAGCGTTGGTCTATTATTTGTCCTAGTTTCACAACACTAACCAGAGAAACAAGATGATCGTACCCTTGCAGGTACTAATAATCATACCTTAGTCAATAATTGGTGATAACAATAGCACAGTATAAAGAAAAGTCGTTAATGCAAGATTTAGCTTGGTGATGCATAGGTTACTTGGCAAGTATCGTCCAAATTTCGCTGTTCCATACAAAGATTGTACAGGAACATATTGCAGTGCTAGAGTTAAGCGTTCGCGAACACTGAATAGAGAAATACGAATCAAAGGGTCGTTGTTTGCGGTCCCCCGCTGCCGCTCCAGAGGCATGCCCATGTGTTACACTGCCATTGCTTGAATTCAACTGCAACTACTATATGCTATATTTAGACTGCGATTCTATATTTTAATTATGGCTCCACAGGCGCCCCCCTCAAGAAACACTCGTAGTACATTGAATTATCTTTGTGATTGTCAATGTCCCGTAAGCGTCTGATTGCAAGTATTACGAAGTAAAATCCAAACAAAAAAAAAAGTAGTATTTACTGTGAGCTATTTTTTTAGCCATTAGAAAAGTCATTTATTATCTACATATTTTTATCAATGGTTCTGAATATATATAAATATTTAAAAAATAAACACACGTCTCACCATAACGTGCGGACGTAGAAAATAATTTAATCTAGCAATAAATTGCCGTGACGATATTAAGGCGCACAATGATGCGTGTATGCCGTGTTTAAGTGACTCTGTCTATTTTTAATGAACATCTAAAAAAACATAATCCACAAATAAGTGTAAGACTGTAAAATGTGAAATTTTCAGAAAGCAATGAATTTAGTAGGGATTGGTTGTACGGGATTAAGCAATCGATTTCATCGTTACAGATGATAACCATGGAATGCAAAATTTGGTACGCTGTCAAATCAAAATTTAATAGTGTCTCGCAGATGTGCCCTGCAGATTGTGACATGTCTGTAAATAGATGTACTGTCCTTTTATGGGGTATTGGGGTTTCGAAATCTAAGGGGCGTTTACGAGCCGGAGCTGAACGACTATTCTTTTATTCTCCACGGCATCTTCGCATTTGTTAGCCATGTTATGCAACTTCGAAGTTAATGGTTGCTAGCGGCACAGCAGACTTGTCCCTGACGGCCTTCAAACTGATGTTCTTAAATTCAAACATCAAAAACGCTTCTAATGTTAGTCAAGTTAATGAAAAAGATAGCAGACTCTAATTTGAAGATAAAAACATGTAAAAAAAAAAAAGATAAAAAGCGTACACCTATCGTGTTAGTAGCGACTGACTGTGCCAACATGTAAGTTAATAGCCATTGCTATGATCCTCAGTGCTCGTTCGTCTAATATACAGAGCATGCTTAGCAGGTGCTCTAACTCTTTTCGGAGCTCGGACTGCACGAGCACGATCTCACTAGCCTGAAAGTGGCTGTTGTATTTACTATTAAATAACCAAATTAAAACAATATTCACTTCTGCTTCATCTAATATTGCAAACTGGACTTCCTACCATTGGCAACACATGGTATTACGCTTAATGCCATCACCGATTTTTCCATGTCCTGCCCACTACGCTTCCCAGCATCCAGCGTCGTCATCGACTTTTCCGACACATCTCTTTTAGTCGCCGACTCTTCCCGCTAACTTTTTCGTCCACTCCTTCTGCCTCCTTCAGTCGAGTCCGTGTTACGCGAGTCATCGCTTGAATTGTGCCCGCCATCCTGCTTCCGCTTCGAAGCGGCAGACGACGGCGAGAGCGCGAGATCCTTCGGCCGTACGAGAAACGGACGAACGTCATGAATGAACAGCGATGAACATCGTGGATGCTTAGCAAGTCGTATAAAAAGGGAGGTCATTTGCCCTCATGCTTTCGCTGCCGTAGCCACCACCGCTGGTACCGCGTGTGGTTGGCAAATCGACGAGCAATGCTGTAAGCTTACCACTAAGGCAACAAGCTTTGATTGGTTGACTGGTTGTTGTCGTCAACGTATGCCATGCTGGTGGGAAATACACTATGGCGGTGGGCTGCTGCTTCGAAAACGCAAATGACGTGTGCGCCACGTCACAAACCCATCCATCTAGCGCCACTGTCTGCGGTAACCTCGCTCTAGTGATCATCAGCATCGGCGCATTAGCAACACCAACGGCATCACGATCATCAAAGAGAATAATCGACGACGTCCATAACCAGCGGCAGAAGTAACGCTCAATACTCAGCGACATTGTTCCCTTGCCACCTTCTCCCCTCGTCAGAACTGTGAAACATCCGGAGATGATGATGTAGTCGATCAAAAGGCAACAGGAACGGCTAAAACTGAGAGAAAAATACAAGCAGGCGGATCTTAGTGAAAAAAAGACGCGAAAGCGAATGAGAGTACCGCTTCCCTGAATATGCCTCGTTTCGACTTTTAAACGTACTGCAGTCTTCTTTTTTGATAGCAAAAAAAAAACTTGAAAGAAGTGTAACTTCAATCAAGAGCATCCATTCAAGAGGCAAGAATTGCCGTACAGCAATAGATGCATGTTTTTGGCCAAACCACACATACATACATACATACATACATCAATCATTATCAGCAGACGCGGAGCTCATTTGCACTTAGATATTTAGTGTATGGATGCATTTCCTAGTGCAATTTTCCCGGTGTGAATGTGGACCGGAAAATGTGGTTTTATTTTATTTATTATTTATGTGTTAGATTGCTATCGAATTCACGCTGTGCAGGAAAGTCCTCCATCCGAGGAAACTTATACACTTAATACAATATTAAGTACTTAATGCCCAATTCTGGACGAGGTTTTGTTTCAAATTTAGGCTAAAGCTTAGTTCCTACTAAGGAAATAACGTGAAATTTGTGTAGCCCATTTAAGGAAATTCACTGTCCATTGCTAAAAGGATTTCGTCCATTCTCAAACGTGCTCTGCTTGCTGCCAATTAGGCTTTATCAAATGAAACGATAGTTGTTGTCTCTTCTGGTGCTATAATGAGCAAGTATTGCTTTCAGCCTGTTGTAACAAAAGCAATAGGAGTCACCTAGTCAATTTTGGTAGATTCTTGGCCCACTTAAAAGCAGACAAAATTCAGCAGGATCTAAGTAGAATTCCATTGTGGACGCATTCATTCCCGAGGTCACAGACGGCAAGCAGTGGGCTCGTTGGGAACGTCGCTTTGGCAGAAAAACCATTTCCATCATCAATCTATTCGGAGCTCTCTTTCAATTCTACGTAGACTGGCCGAAGAATGAGGGAGACGAAGGGAGAGTTCCTAACGTCGTCTTTTATCCATTACCAGCTACGCCTGCAACTATGACTACGACTAGGAGCATTGTTGCAACTGGAAACCACTTTCTCCCAACAGATGGATGGATGGATCACGGTTGCTTCCTCAACAGCCTCCACTAGGTTAAACGATAAAAAGACGACCACAAAAACCAGGTCACGTTAGGACACGTCGATTTAGGCCACATCTGGGAGAAAGTGCAGTTGCTGCGGGGCATCGATCCCCTTTCAGTATTCTCGTGGTTATAATATTCTCGATATTTCATAATATAACTCCAGTCAAGAATCTAATGCGCCTAACTCATACACAGGCGATAATACAACGCGGCAAAGTATGTGCAGTGTTTTACTACTATATTATGAAAGATGCGTTCAACCATAGGTTGAAATACTCTAATTAATAATTTAATTAGCTCAGTTGGTTATAGTGGCAGCGATAAGCGAGGGATTGTTGGTGTATCTGATTTTATACTGGAACCACTGTATTTAATTCATGTCAGATCAATATTCTGTTTTTTGTACAAAAGATTATACTCATTTTTCTGTAGGAACCTGTCAGATTCGCAATTGTTTAGCATTGTACATATTTTATACCATGTGTGTGATGAAACACGGAAAGTTAATGGAAACTAACTTAGTGGTGAGCAGCAAAAGCCCGTGTCGGTTTTAAATTTTTGAAGTGAAAACGCCCACAAATGGGCGTTTATAAATCTACGATAAATGAATATATAGATCCATTATACGCATTTAGATATTGACAAAAAAACTGATGCCATAGGTTATGCAAATGCCCCACGGTATACTATATTATGAAATAGTAAACTCCTGTTTTCAAAACCATTTAGGGCAACCCTGATCTTCTTAGTAAGGATTCTTTAAAACCCATCTTTACCTGGCCAATTTCGTTTTCCCCTGTCCTCATAATATTCCAACCTTGTTTTATTATATCCGCTTCGTGTTAAGGAGGTTGAATCTCTCCCAACCCCCCTTCGAATCTTATTGAAAGCAGAAGCATATTAAAACGCAAAAAAGAAAGCGCAAAAAAATACAGAAAAATCGCAAAACATAGCGCCCAAAAAACAGAAATTCATATTCAGCATACTAAATGCAAAGTAGATGTTGTACGTACTTCGAAGACCTAACAGGACGTTGACGCCAGTTGAGACTTGGCCAAAATGATATATTTTTATAAAGTTTTTGATTTAATTTATCGAAAACGCTCCGACAAACTATGGCAGGCGACTTCGATAATTGGTTAGTCATTTTCCCATTTGTGAGCGTGCGCTCCGTCACAGTTCTTTCCGGTATTATTTTTAGCGAACACCACGTATTTGCGCGGTGCATATTTCAGAAATGAGGCAAAGTGTGTAGTGCTCAGTTTAAAAGCGTCCAGGCAACCTCCCGTAAGAAAGAGACGTTTTGAAATTTCACTCTTGAGTGACAGAAGAGTTCAGGAGGAAGCTCGAAAGAAACGAAAAGTAAGGAAGATACGGAAAGTGGAAAAATTCAGAAGAAATTATGACAAAAAAAGATGATGCGATTTGTTTTCACCACGACTCGCCTGGGACCACTAGGTCTCCACTGACTGTTTCTACTAGCTCTAACTGGCCGGGAACAAAAACGCCGTCGCCAATCGCAAAAAAACGGGTTTGATTTCAAGCAGTGAGCCTGAAATGGAACATCATCGGGTCTTACCTGGCACGCTACAGGGACGACTTGAAGCGAACGATGCTGACCATGCAGGGACTCATCAGGCGAAAATCTCTTAGGTCCTCATCGATAAAGAGAGCTCCTCATTGATGAGATGAAATAGAAAATGAAGGGGAACGAATGAATGGGAAGAGTTTAGTGGCATCGATGCGGTCTTTTATGGCACCCCCGATGCCATGGCTATGGCTCTGCCGTTTTCTTTTTCGAAAATACTCAGTTTCAAGCCTTCCGTGCATTTCTTAGTACACGGCGTGTAATCTTATGCCAAATGTAATAGGGAACAATCGGTGCTTCTGAGTCACTAGACCAGCTCACGTTTGTGTATTCAAATGTGATAATTGCCGAACCTATAATATAGCCACCTCCAATGAGCTTCGCACAGGGTGGAAAAGTCTTCTCGTTTGTTTTCATGGTACCACGTATCATCAAATCAAATCCGTCGACCTCGACTCGTTTCAGCTAGGCTTTCCATTCATATTCAAGACGTCAAACGCCTTTACTTCACTCAGTACCTGAGATTTAGAACACTACATTGTTGACTCATTAATGGTAGAGCTATGCGAAATATACTCGCATTTTTAGTCTCCTTAGTAAAGTTAATAGATATCTAATCCGCGGGACGCAAATTATTGAACAAGCCTCTCGAGAAATCTCAAATGAATTGTCAGTTTTTCATTAGAACTACTTGCGTCCCTAAGCGTAGCCTTCGTCTGCGTCAGCCGAAACTTCCAAGGAGACGTTTATCGCCTGCTGTGACATCTTTTGGCTAAGTTCAAATGTGCCCGGCTTATATTTATATATACACATATATATTAAACAGGCTTAACTTCAATGGGAAACGGTAGCGAACGAACCATAATACATAAAGTAAGCCAAATTTTTCATTAGGTTACGATGTAAGGCATTGTGTATGAGTCAGCAGTAGAATTAAAAGTTGGGTTTCATTTTTTTAGCCAACCAAATCCACTGGGGGGCGTGAATGGCTCGACAGTATTGCACTTTTTTGGAACAAAAGCCGTAGACGCTGCTCAGATGTATTAGCTGTGAGCATTTTCTATACGGTTACGGTCCTAATAGACCTGCTCGGGTTATAGCTAGCCATTGTGCTCATGCAATTACGCTCGTGCAAATGCAGCCCGTCGTTTTCGCCAGCTTCCTTCGTACTAGACCAAGCCAAGGCTCCCGGGTGGAGAAGCGAATCTACCTCAAACTCGCCTGACACTTCGATGCCCCGTGTACTCAACACCTGTTCAAGGTTGCGTCAGCCGTAGAAGCACGGCAGCTACGTAGTTTTGCTACGGTTTCCTCGATAGAGCGCGGCAATGAGATTGTTGCACGACAAAATTTATTCATTTTTTATTATTTTGAAGACACGTGCATATGTTGGGCTGCTGTAATAGCTTAAAGTAAGGCACTATACATATAACCTGAGAATCAACGCTCATAGATATTATTACGTTCGAGCGTATGGGACATTGATAAAGTTGCCTACTACAATCACGTCACCCGCGTGGACGGGCCTTTGGCTTTTGGTTTTCCGTCGCGGGCCGTATGTAATAAATAACTATATCATTGTTGGTGCCTAAGTGTGCCTGTGAATTCGAGCGTCTATGAATACTGTGTGTATGTCTTTGCGTAAAGCGAAAACAAAGATTCGCCGATCCGTTTTGGCCGTAGTATCTATAAATCGGCAGATCTAGAGGAAGCTCAAGAGAGCAGCGAACCACTGTTGCTGACAATGGCACTGATGCTCCATATATAGTAGAAATGGTTCGGGAAATAGTTAGATGTGGACATCTTAATATCGAACGACGTGCTCATCCGGCCTCTCGCTTACGATCTAGAAATGTAAACAGAACTGTATTATAGCGAACAGATACACTCTGTGATTGCTTTCCGCAGTAGGTAAAGGAATATAAAAAGTGTAATAAACAGAGACTTAGTTAAAGCTTATGCTGATGTAATGAATTTATAAGTTATTTGCATGATCGAAGTTCCCTACTTGATCTCATATAGTAGCAAAATCATCTGTCAATAGCTGGCGCAGTAAGTTTCAAGGTAGATAAAAATCAAATTTATCTAACTCAAGTAAAGATATTTCCAAGTGTGGACGGATGATCTGCACAGCATTCAGATGATTCATATTCGGTAAACGCAGGTTTTCAAGCGTATAAAGCATCGTTATAACATATACATACTTTATATGATCAATGTCTGTTTTATGTAATTACGTGCAAACGACACGATTGTGTACATAGGACTAGATTTCGACGGAGGTGCTGCAACGTGACCATCTAATGTTAAAAAGAAAATAAGAGTTTACCT